GGCATTGCTTTCTGTGGATCCTAATTTAGAGTCACATGGCTCAAATGTAGCCTGAAAAAAGGCCATGTGCATCTTTTGCACATGCACACTCACATGTCACGCTGCACTGGAAATGGCTGTTCATGCAGCCGGTATCCTCTACTGCCCTGCCTCTTGCAAAACCAAAATGAGATTGATACAAGTATGACCAAACGAACATCAAAGCCCACACCTGTAGCTTCATAAATGAAGGTTGATGCATCAGCATCTTAGTTTTCTCATTCTGCTTACAAAGACTGAAACCAGCTGGAGGTCCCTGAGAAGCCAAACCAACGGGATTCCCTTTATCTCCCTTGGAAAATTACTGAGAGGTGCAGCTCCTTGCTAGCCCAGCTCTGATTGCTATCTTGAGTTGTTTCAGGCCCATATAAGTAATGAAATTCTCCTGCCTCATCAAGAAACAGATTTGCAGCCATCTCCTAGGACAAAGTACCAGTTACTGTGGCAGTGCAAGAGCCATACGCTGGGTCATGGAGAAGCAGCAGAGTTTGCAGTGTTAGCTACAGCTTAGCTGTCCTTCCTTACTAGACTCGGCTGTGCTCCTACGTCCCATTACTTCTTCCTGCCTGGGCTCCTTCTCAGGGGGTTATGCTGACCCGGGATGGTCCTGAAGTGTTTGACTCCAGTGGAGATGGGAAGAGAGAGGAAGAGATGTCACTCGAGTAATATACAAATGCCGTGGGGCTCCCACTGTGATGGCTGGCCTGCTGTGCTCTCTAGATTAGCCCAGGAGCCTGTGGATGGTGTATGTGAAGGGTCTGGATAGCTCACTGAGGTACAGCTGTTTCAGAGATGAGCCACTGTTGCAATAGCAGCAGGCTGAGGACAGGATGTGAGAAAGCATCTCAGCTCAGGCCTGCATTGGGTAGGCATGGTCACAGGCCCTTTGCTTGAGCAGAGCCAGTCTGACCTGTACCATGCTGAGGCCAGGGCCATTTTGTCCCTTGAGATGCTGACAGAAGAGAGACCAGAAGGAAGAGGCCTGGAAACAGGGGTAGATGTAGATATGGAGGTAGATGTAGAGCCTCCACTCAGGAGAGGCAACCGAGATAGCTGCAGGGAGCCTGTCCAGCTGTGCAGAGCAGAGCCATTGGTCCCCAAACCATGCATCTGGCTCTCTTGAGCCTCGAGTCCAATTAGTCATTTTTTATTTTCCCCTCATATGTTTTTCCAATGTAATTTGGAGCATGAGTTGTTAAGTTTCCCCAACAAGTGTTGCTATAGGAGTCTGTATTTGTTTAGGGTGGGGTACGGGCTCTGGCGGGTTGAGGGGAGGGGGCAATTAGCCCTAGTAGGTGTAGAGAAAAAGCGAGAGCCTCTTGTTCTCAGTCCTATCCCTGTCTCTGTCCTCCCCCCACCTTGCACATAAGACACGATCTGGAAATCATTTTAGACCTGTGCAGCCGGGACGGGCAATCCTCCTCAATAATTATATGGAAACTACAGTAGAAGTGGGTTTTGTTTTGCCAGTGAGTCATGACATATGGAGCAAAGCTCAAGGAAAAACTCCACCACATGGAATGCTACAAAAGCAAATCACACCCAGAGCGCTTTCCCCGCCAGCGGCCGGGTGAGCCCCTGGCCGGTCCCCTGCCATCAGCCCCCCGCACCTGCCAGCTCCAGTCTTGCTCCCGCAGCGGCCCCAGCCAGCCGCAACGGCATGCAGAGCCGCTTCACGGCTCAAATGGAAGCCTTCTTTGCTTGCGATTGTTTAAGACCTGCTGGCAGTTTTCACTGGAAGAGGAGTGTTAACCCTGTCACCTTGCTGAAATTCCGGTGTGGGGAATTACACCCTGACATCCTCTGGTCTTCAAACAGAAGAAAGCAAGCCTAAAAGACCCCAGTGCTGGGGCCCAGCTCGGCCCTTCCAGCTGCCTCCAGCAGTAGGTCAGAGGGCAGCCTCTGGCAAGTCACTCAGCCCCTCTTCCTCAGTTTCCCCATGTGAGAAATGGCACCAGTCTTCCTCTGCTTTGCTGAGGGGCTGGAAGAGCTAATGGCTTCAGAAAGCTGAGAGGTGAGACACCCTATGCAGACAATGTTTTTCTCTGGGGTTGTCCTGATTTGCACGTGTCACCAAAATAAGCTTTGTGAAGGACTTTGCTTCAGGGCTTTGTGTGCCTTCTGGAAACTAAGCTGTCCTCCCTCATCCCTTGGGAGCTCAGGTGCTGCAGTTCTTTGAGGGCAGAAAGCTCAGTGGGGTGGTATGAACAGAGGTATCTAGCCATTGGCTACATCTGGCCAAGACTTGGCTACAGTGGCTGTACTGCCATTGAGCTGTAGGAAGCAGGTGTCATAGCGATGGCAATGATGGGCATCAAATCACTTCCCCTGCCACTGCTTCTTTCTGGATGCTTGAGTGAGTTACGTAACCTTGCTATACCTCAGTTTCCCAGCTGTGGAAAGGTGCGTCCTTTCTTCTTCTCATGCAAGATCTTCCAGGCAAATGCAACCTCTCCTTTGATGCTTGGATTTGGCCCAGGGATTGTAGCTGTGACTGTAATATTGCTACCATTGACAGATTCATTGGTTTGCCATAATCCTGGCTCTTGTTTCCTGCCCGTGGTGAAAGAAAAGTGATGTTAACTTGCTTTGGGCTCACTTCTGGTCCTCGTGAGTCATGATGGCAAAGGCTACATCAGTAACCTGGTTTGGTCATAGTTTTCTCATGGCAATAAGTGCCAATATCACCCGTTCTTGCATGTTGTCTTCAGTGTAGTGGATACAGGCCTCTCATGCTGTGGTGACCTTTCTCAGCCCAAAGTTGGTTGGCTTAGTGGTGCTACTGGTGAGTGACTTTCAAAGGGAGGGTTCTGGTACATTTTGCGAAGCCCAGTTGTCCTCTGAGGCCACCAGATGCAGCGAATTGGAACAGGCACTTTCATGAGCAAAGGGGTGGCCAGCTTTCTGCCAGGAGCCTTGCTGATGACAGCAGTCCTTCTGGAGTATGGCCACTGTTTCTGGGTCAGCAGCTAAGAGTGCAGAGCCTAGACCTAGAGAAGCATTTCATTACTAATCACTCAGTTAATGAATGGCCTCTCCGTTCTGTTAGCACGTTTATTTGTGACTTGGCAGTGCTGATGTGTATCTATGATAAATAAACCTCAGTTGCAGATTGTTCCTGACAGTTCATTGCAAATGCTTCACATGCAAGTTATTTAGTTACACCAGTCGCACAGCATTGTTTCTCAACCCCAGTTGGCTGCTTCTCAGCCCTAGTTGTTTCTCTTCTCTAATCAGATGCGTCATGTAACTAAACAACAATAAAACGGATTTCTGAATGGCTGTTTGTGCCATTTAACATTTCTGGTCAGAAAGCCATTCTGCTGGAATAGCTTTCTGTTTCTGTGTTAGAGCTGAAAGTAAAGAAAGCTTGTTAATGATGGGCCATTTATTTGAGACGCACCAAGACAAGCTGAGCTCTGTAAATTCCTACTGATTCAGGTAGACCCCACAGTGTTTCATAGCAGAGCAGCAAAGAGCATTGGGCTATGCCACACAAAGAAGATGCACCATATACAGTCACAAAGCATACACAATATTGACGTTATTCTGATAATGGAAAATCCCCCACTATAGAGCAAGTGGGCTTTTCAGAAGTGGCCATGTGATTTAGGAGCAGAAGTGCTGTTGGCTTGATGGGAATTTGTTCTCCTGGATTACCTGCATACTTTGGAGATGTCTTCTCTGAGTTAGAGATGTTCCCAGAACATGAATATTAGCAGCAATGAACGCATTTGCAAGTCCTAGTGAATGACCACAGGCGTTTGTCCCTCTGAATTGTTTCCTGCTTAGCTCTTAGGAAGGCCACTCAACCATAGAACTTCCTTACACCATCCTTATAGAGTGGGATCTGGGCCATGAAGAGGAGAAATGGAGAGGAAGGTGGCCATCAGTGAAGATGGAAAGTGGCCAAGTTGCCAGTATCTCTAGTTGTCACTATGCAGGGGCCTCTCTCTAGTCAATCCAGAGTTGGATTTTGCCTGCAGGGAGCTAGCACTTGATAAAGATCCCTTCTCTTTTCCTCAGCTGGTCACTGGATAAGCAGTCTTGTAGTCCAAACCGTCAAGGTTTGGTGGAGTCAAGTGTTGCAGAGAGGGTTAGATCCTCTAGTGGAGAGTCTAGAGGAATTTGTGGACGTGTCCTTCTTCCTGCATGGTCAGGGCCAGGGCCAGATCAAGAGCATTCTGGAAAAAGCTTAGTCCTTACAACCAGCACTTGCCAATGTTTGGCTCGACTCGGACACAGGTATTTCTGGGAGAAAGCCTGACCTTGCTGAACCTTTCTCGTAATCAAAGGGAGAAAAAGGAGTTCAACGGAGCTCTGATATTGATCCTCTCACAGGATCCTCTATTGAGCCTCACATCAGCCTCTCTTAGCTGCCCAAGCTGCATCACAAAGCTCAGCTTGAGAGCCAGGCTCTTGAGAAGAAGTGGTGTTGGAGGGAAGAGTTGGGTCAGCTTCTTACAGAGCCTGACCCTGGCTGCACTCACACAGAGAGCTGGATTACAGTGGAGTTGCATGTGAGTGGTGTCATGAGGTAGCAGTGCAAGCTGTGCTGTGCAGAGGTGGTGGTGAACTCACTCCCAGTTGACTGGCACTGGACTCTAGGGAGAAGCACTGAGTGGAGTGGGGACTTGAACTTCTGGCATTCAGTGTGGGGCCCTCTCTAATGACATGGATTTGCTCTCTCACTTCCTGATGTGATTCCCTTGGGTAGAGAAAGCTGATCCTTGAGCTACTGCTGCTCCTCCTAGCACTGAGTCCTCCATACACGCCAACTAGGATATTAGTTTTCTGGTGTTGCTTTGGCTTTGAAGAGGTGGGTGTGTACTGTGGAATTGTATTCTGCCCTTTATAGTGATGCATGAGGGACTTGTTGAGGATCGGGACTCTCTGCTTTTGGGAGGAACCTTGCATTTTTGAATAACCCTTTCAGCAACAACTCATTTCTTTGCCTATAGCCTTTCCAAGCAGATGGCTGGTGTGACACCATCAACAATCGGGCATACTGTCAGTATGATGGGGGTGACTGCTGCTCCTCCACACTGTCCTCCAGGAAGGTAAGTAAGTAAGCACCTTCTGTGGCACAGGCCAAGATTTAGGATTAAGCGTTCACAATTCACCATGCTCTTTGGCTTTGCTGACCATGGAAGCAGGCCTACAAGACAGTTTTCCCATGAGCAGAGAACAAATCCAGGACTTTAAACCAAAGCCAGCTGAAGCTGGTAAATGTTGTTCTATTGATTTCAGCAGGGTTTGGACCTGGGCCAAAGGGACTCAAAGCTTAACTAGGGTCCCATTTGGGCTCTTGGGATTCCCTCTCATTTAAAATGCAAGTCCCAAAGAAATTACTTCTGTAATATTTAGTGCTAGTTGTGATGAGTCAGAAGGCACCTTGTTGCATAACTGCACAATCTCAGGACACTTGATTTTTTCTGTTGGCATCCACAAGCCCACTCCGGACTATCTTTCCTTCCCAAGTCTCCCAGAGAGGGTAGGAGGGAGGAATAATGTAGAGGTAGCAACTTTGAGTTAGGGTTGCACAGACCCTTCCTTGTCTCCCATCCCAACCTCCCTTCCCACCTAACTTGCCATCCAGCACTCACAGCCCATCCTTCCTAAATGTATCCAAGAGCAAAACAAACTATAGGGCATGAGATAATTTCTCATTGCAAAAATATGTGAATTTGGATCTTCTTGTCTTTGTTGTGGAGCTTGAATCATTTTTTCTTTCATCACACACACACATACACACACACACAGAAAGAAAGGAAAAATAAAATCCTGGGAAGATCCGGTTCAGATAGGAGGGAAAAGGCTTTACACCCAAGTGATGAGTGAAACGTCCCCAGTGACAGCATGACATCTTGGAGCATGGCATGGCTTTCAGGAGATCTGAGACATCTTGTTCTCCAGCCAGAATAAAGGACAGGATTGTAATGAAAGGCAGAGGAATTCATGTCCCATAGCTCTCAGGATACACCGTTTCAGCTCACATCCCCCACAGGTCCTAGCTGTCCAGCCACGCAATCCTCCATCGCTTCGCTGTTAAGGCAGATATAGGAATACGGGTTTCAAACATAAAACAACCTGCTTCAGCCTCTCACTGGCTCAGGCTGTGAAAAATGTAATGTGCTTCTACAGTAAGAAAAATTCTTGGCTCTGAGTCTAGTTTGCATAAAAGCCTCAAGTAGAAATTGTTTCCTCAGCTCCCATGGCCAACTGCTAGGCCATGGTCAACCATCAGCCAGATGCTTTGCTGATGCCTTCCCACCTTGCTCTGCTGCCACCAGTTAAGGCACAGGTGACATAAGGTTGCTTGGCCACATACACTTGAGGTAATGAAGGCAATGAGCAGAGGTACAGCTGAGCCAGGAAGAATCAAGAGTAGCTTGAACAACGGGGCCATGGGCTCTGATATGGACAAAGGGTGAAAGTAGACCAGAAATCTAGAGGTACCTCACCACTGCCAGCTCCAGTCCAGAAGCCCATAACCACTGGGGGAGATTTCTCCCAGGAATTTGATATTTGGGGCACAAGCTGTCAGGCTGAGCCTTGACTGCAAAATTTGCAACACAAGTTACCAGAAAGTAAAACTCAAAGACCAAAACCCAGCTGTGGGTCACAGTTAGCACAAGGGGCTCCCTGGAGCAGAACCTGGTTCTCAGCGAGGGTGGTGCCTGGGGGTCTCCACAGCGCCAACAACGACTGGGCCTAGCCAAGAGTGTGGGTCTGTCTGTACAGGGGTGGAGAGGGTTTGTTGAGGTGAGGCGTGCCAATGGGCCAGAGGACTCAAGGCAGAGGCTTGATCCAGGCTTACTTTTCCCTTTTGGTACCTCCAGGTGATTCCGTTTGCTGCTGACTGTGACCAGGATGAATGCACCTGCCGTGACCCAGCGGCTGAGGAGAACCAGTAGCAGCACCACGAACGACCTCTCTCGGTGAGGCGAGCACCGGAGGAGCAAAGGGGCAACAACAGAGGCCACTGGGAGGGTGGCAGGACATACAAGGGGGGACAGGAGGCATAAGAGGAAGAGCTGGACAGTTGGGAAGACGGCAACGCAGGCGCCCAGCGTCCTGCGGCACCGCATGCAAGCGGCATGATGGGCACGGTGGGGACGGGGCGAGGCCGCCAAGATGCTGGTGGGCAGAGGATAGATGCATTCACTGCACTGCCACGGTCCCCTCCCATCACTGCGCCCTTCCCCTTGA